TATCTGCATTAAAATCGATGGAACATCCGCCCTCCTGCGGATGCAGTAAAATTTGAACATTTTACTAAGTGGAGAAACTACAGGAAACAAACGAACCAGAGCGGCGCCTTTATTATTACTATATAGCGCCGCCGCGCGGATACAGTAAAAGTTTTCTCCGTGTACCCACAATGCATTTCGACCGGATGTTCCACTATTTTGGGAAGCTGTTCTATCTTCTGCTATTTATTATCTTTGAGGATAGTAATATTCGAGAATTTGGAAGGTGGATAAGCGACCACGATTGGTCAGAAGTTAACCTATCAGATGATGTAGACAATCAGTACTCAATGTTCTATGATACAATCAACTGGGCTGTAGGAAGATTTTCCCCACAAGGAAAGTGGAAACAACACTTATCCGATAAGCCATGGATGAACTTCAGGGATAAAGTCAGTGATTCGTAAACGTCAGGGCAATACTGCGATCCTGCTGGTTGGTACAGAGGGATAAGAGCTATGTCATCTGGTATCTCAACGCGAACTGCTATACATGTACCTGATACCATTGATTTTGAAAATCATGAAGGTATTGCCAATCGAATTAATAACCATTTTGCTGACATCGCAAGCAGTATCCCACCCCTTGATTAAAATAGATTACCATCATATCTACCATCATATTCATTGTGCCCAAAAGTGGAACCTTGGCAGGTATATTATGAGCTTATCATCAACCTGACCCGACGGTGTCCCTATGCGTCTGATAAAAGAATTCGCTTATGAATTAAGCCAACCCTTAACAAGTATTCCCAACAAATCTTACTATGTGGGCAAAGTTCCGGCCCAGTGGAGGCGGGCAGCGATTTTTTCCCGTACGAAACATTTACATGAAACTCCACTCGGGCCGTCTCGAATGAATCGACCCGAAAATCTAATCAGACTTCAGGTCAAAAGGTCATCCACAGATAAACGTCTACAAAACAACTAAAACTTCTGAGAGAGAACGTTGCATGTCTAATTTGAAAATACATTGATGTTACCATGCTAATACTAATGGGTCGTTTAAAATAACTGAATGAATATAATATTTGATTGAGCTGCACGAGTAATAAAACGTGTTATTTTAACTTGAGTTACATACTGTGACAATTTTTATTTTTAGTTAGGTCTGGGTTTTGCATAATTACCTAGGCCTACTAACGAACTATTAAACATATACAATTTCTGGGGAAAGCACATACTAAGGAAAAGCGCGTTTCTTCATCACGAAACAGGGTGACAGTTATTTTCAAAGTAAGAGCTGAGAATAGGCAGCTCTAAAATACTGGATGCCATATACCTGCCAAAATGGCAGAGCAACAATGAATGTATAAATGAGGCCTAAGCCTAGTTATTAATATCAGGCATAGTAATCTTCAGGTTCTTGATTACAAGGCTAGACCAAGTTAATTACATGAAATGATTATTTATTATTATTATTATTATTTATTATTATTATTATTATTATATTACTAAAACCAACCTGTAGGCCTACCTTAAGGGGACTTAGACAATGCAGGAATTAGAGAACAATTAAAAAATCGACGTTAAGGGGAAATGACACAAAAGATATTCCCTTGGGCTAGTTAGACCTAGTAAATAGTATGGTTCTTCATTACAAGGGTTAGGCCAAGGTAATTAATGCTGAAATTATTATTATTATTATTATTATTATTATTATTATTATTATTATTATTATTATTATTATTATTATTATTTAACATTAATTACATATCAAGGATAGTTTGGCGAAGTTCAATAACGGAGCAGAATGGTAGGCCTATATTTTATTTATTTAATAATATTTATCTTATGTAATCTACTTTTTATTTCATGCTTCAATTTTTTTCAAAATTTCAATCAACGTCATGTGAAGCGTGACTGTTGGTGTCAGCCTAGGACCCTAGGGACCTAGGCCTATAGTTTAAGGAGCTCGTAGGACTTAAGTCAGCCTGTAGTTAGGCCTATACCGTAGTTTATCCTCTTTCTCTCTAGCCTTTGGTATTACTGTACCTATCTACACTTTATAAAAGGGGGTACTAGCTGTTGTTGTTGTAGATATTATACTAACATTTAATAACATCCAAGAAGGTCACAGTTAGTTACACACCTACATCCCATAAATCCGTACGATACCATAGGTAAAACATAGAAAGAGGAATCATAGTAAAACTCGAGCGTCACGACATTGCGAAGTGTCTGCTCTTCTTCCTCGTATCATGGAAGTATCGTTGGCATTACTGGATTTGAAGATATTTGCAGGAGACGATCACAAATCGCTCCAGCACTATTTTTTAACAAAGAAGGAGATGTAGTTGCCAAAGAAGAACAGTGTGAAAGTATGTCCTACATTCGGCATATTAATTGCGCATTAACTCTTACAGACATTACCAAATCTACTTGTGCAACGACCAAATGTCGAACGAAGTTTTGCGCTCTAAATTATCTATTGTAACAAAGGAGAACATATCACTTAATAGAAAGGCTAATGGAATGAAGAAGTATGTCCAAAGGTCGCTGGAAGAAGGAGTTTTTCTCCAAGATTCAATGGCAGCATCTTTAGAGGCAATAATGACAAAGAGCGGTGCGTGTTTTGAAGAAGGTTCACCACAGAAACTTCTATGGGCTCAGCAGATTTCTGCGATGAAATCGGCAAAGAACCACAGAAAGTGGCACCCTGCTATTATAAGATACTGCATTGCGATTCATAGCAGATCGTCATCGGCCTCTCGGACTTTAAGAGACTCTGGCCTTTTGCTCTTGCCACACGAAAACACCCTGCGAAACTACTCACAATTCACGGATGCCGGTTGTGGGTTTAACCCCGATATTATTGCAAAAATGAAAAATGATATTCATTTCGAAAGCTTACAGGCTACCAAGAAGATCGTTACCGTCGGATTCGACGAGATGAAAATTAAGTCAGGACTTGTGTACTCTAAACGGACGGGTAATCTTGTCGGCTTTACCGACATGGGCTCTATAGGAAATAGTCTCGAAGAATACGCCAATAAAATGAAGGCTAATATTGATGGTTCGTCCGACAAGTAGGAACCCCAACTTGCATCGCACATGCTCGAGATAATGGTCAGGGGCATGTTCTCACCATTGCACACAACCATTGGATATTTTCCTTCCCATGGAAGTCCAAGTTACCAGTTGTACGGGGTTGTATGGAATGCCATTGCCTGGCTAGAATACAGTGGCTTTGATGTTAGAGCAATTGTTAACGATGGCGCAAGCGCTAACAGAAAATTTTATAGACAATTACAGAAACAGTCTGATGACATCATATTTTCTACAGTTAATCCGTTCAGCAAGAAAATAGTTTATCTAATATGCGATGTCCCCCATTTGATGAAAACGACCAGGAACAATTTTGAGAATTCTGGTTTTAACAAAAAAAAAACCCATCAGAAAAGGCTTTGTAGAAGAATTGCAAGCCAGAGGTAAACGAGTAACCGCAACATTAACAACCATAGGTGGGAAAGAAACAGAGTGTGAAACCAGAATATTTAAGGTTCAATTGGCTGTCTCTTATACACATCTAGTTTATAGGCCTAGACCTAGCTAGGTATTACTGTCATGCACGGTGAGGCCGATGTGCGTTGTGTGTAGGTATTACTAGGCCTACTACACTAAGAAATGGAAGAATCACGTCAGATATCAGTCTTCACGATTGATTGGATTTATAGTTATACAGTATGCGTTATACTATTGAAGTTGATTTATTCCTAATCAGTATTGGTACTCAGGCTGCTATAAGATGATTGTTGTAATTATAATTTTAACGCTTGTTGGTAATGTTTGATTTATATAGTATAGTTTATTGAGATATTGTTTAAAATTGATGTTCCTTGTTTAGGCTAACCTGTTCAGGAGGTGATCGGATGTTGACTAGTAATTGACTGATCACACAGTATGCTAACCTGTTTGTAGGAAACACGGCAAAGTAGTAAGTCTTCATTTATTGCAGGCAAACCGTATTATGTAAGGCTTATCGTATTGAATGGTTCATAATAATGTTTTCAAGAAGTTTCTAATGTGTTTAATGGTTATTCGATTACAGAATTGAATGAGATGTTACGATAAATGATAAAAGTTACCATCGGATACTTTATCGTAATAAACGTCATAGAACTTTAACGGAGTTTCCTGCATCATTTGTTCAGTGTTTTGCGGCAATTCTTTACAATTCAATTTACTATTGGAGCATCCACGTGAAAGAAGGAGCAAAACACTATGGATCCAGAGAAGCTGAAGATTACACGGCGAAACCGGAAGGGTAATCTTACAAGAACAATGAAAGAATTGCATATGCTAACCATGCAGCCAGACAAACACGATGAGATAAATAAAGCTATTGAAAAGGCAAAGGCAAAGTTTGAGGCTATTGAAGCATCCCATGATGAGTTAATTGAGCTTTTGGCTAATGAAGCGGAATATGTTAAAGAAGAAGAATGGATGGTCCAATGTCAGGAAGAGTTCCTTTCCGAGATGAGGGTAATTGAGTTACATCTAGCCGAAGTGTGGAAAGACAAGTCTGAACAGAAATCAGAGATCGTTCAAGATGCTGAAACAGTTGAAATCAATCCAGAGACCAAAGAGAAGGTCGAGGTAACTGAAAATAAAGGTAGCAAAAATGAACAAAATGTTGAATCAGAACCGCCTAAGGCGGATGAAAATGTTAGTGTTAATGATGTAAATGTAAAGAGTAATGCAAGTTTAATTGGTTTGTTTCAAACATTGGCTTTGCCAAAAACCAAGGTTAAGCAATATGAGGGAGATCCTTTATATTACCATGCATTTATATCAGGTTTCAACAATATGGTGACAAATGTACCAGATTATGGATTAAAGTTAAACACCTTATTGTCGTACTGTTCAGGCAAAGCCCTAGAGTCTATACAGTTTTGTGTATTAAAACCACCTAAGGAAGGCTATGAGGCTGCGTGTAAAACGCTTAAAGAGAAATTTGGCAATACAGGAGTGATAGTGCAAGCTTGGGTAAGTAAAATCACCGATAGACCCAAGATAGAGGTGAATGCATTAAAACAGTATGCAGAGGATCTAGACAATTGTTTTCAAACCCTTAAGGAATTAGGATACCTCAACGAATTAAATAATCAAAGTAGCCTAAAACTAATCATTGAAAAATTACCAAGATTTCTTAGAAACAGGTGGCAGAAGGAAAACTACCAACTGAAATTAAAATCCGAGAATGCTACACTTGAGGATGTTGTGAAGTTCATTAGAACATGTGCACTGGAAGTTAATGATCCTGTCTTCGGATTCAGTGAAATCAGGCAGCCAACTCACACAACAAAGGTTAGAAAAGTACAGGTAAACAACATGAACTGGAATGCAGATCGAGAAAGATCACCAAAGTGCTGGGTATGTAAGTCTAATGAACACTGGCCGGATCAGTGTAGCACACTGCTAAAGGCTAAGTCACAAGAAAGGTTTGAGCTTGCGAAAACCAATCATGTATGCTATGCCTGTTTAAAGGTAGCCGGCAGAAATCACAACATATCTAACTGTAGAAGGAGAAAAACGTGCTCCAAAAGGGTGAATGATAAGCAATGTGACAAGTACCATCATCCCTTGTTACATCCTGAAAGGGATACAGGAACGGTGAAATTGGTAAACTGCTCAAAGGGTATCTATGATCAACCATTATTAAGAGTTGTCGAAGTAGGAGTATCAGTCGGAAAGAAATGGAAAAGGGCAAATGTTATGCTAGATAATGGATCTCAGGGAACTTTCATCAGAAAAGGCTTTGTAGAAGAATTGCAAGCCAGAGGTAAACGAGTAACCGCAACATTAACAACCATAGGTGGGAAAGAAACATAGTGTGAAACCAGAATATTTAAGGTTCAATTGGAAGGCACCGGAGGGTCTCATGAAATTGAAGCAGTCGCCTTGGAAACAGTGAACACTGTAAGTGAAGTAGCAGAAGCGGATATGCGACAAATTGAAGATCAGTTCCAGCTGGAGCCACATGTGTTGAAAAGAAGGGGTGGGGAAGTAGATATTTTGATAGGTGTTAATTACCCAAAGCGGGACATAACCCGTTCCACTATGTTAACTTTGAAATCTTATTACCTCGATGTATTGAAAATATGGCATATCGATATTTGTTTTTTAAAAGGTTCTTAGCAACAGCGTTGTAAAAGCATTTGAGAGTCAAGGTCGCTACGATACAAAGTCAACGATCGAATTCATATCGAAAATGAATAAATTCTTTGACTGTTTGAATGTATCCAGAAGGCAGAAGAAGCAGTTGTACGTCAACGCAGATGCTAAAGAATACACAAGTGTTGATGATCCAAGAATAAAGGTTAGTCAATGTTCGTTAAACCCACATAACATAATAATATTGTAATCAATAAAAAACCAAAAAATATTCAATTTCATAAGTTTTGATAATGTTTGCAATTTCATTCACAGTGGTTAGAAGAAGACTTCCTCGGCTTCTTTCAGAAATGGGAGGATCAAGTCAACAGCATACCAAACTTGACAAAAATTCAGAGAAACAAAATGTGCCTCAGTCCTGAAACATTGGATGGGCTGCGAATTACAGGTAGGGTCAATGTACCATGGAGCTTTTATATCTGCATGAATTTGCTATATTAAGCGTAGGATAAAACCCACTTCAAAGTAGGAGGTGTAGCTGAAAATGCATTTATAAGTATGTTAAAATGGTCCCCTACTTAATTTGTTGCAGTGAACTCATTTGTCTGTTTGGCAAGGGAAATGCTGGCGATTCCAGATGTCAAGTACTTCTTGAGCGAAAAGTTGAATCAGGACCCCATTGAGGAATATTTTTCAAAACAGCGCGGTTGCGGCGGGAGAAACGAAAATCCGACAGTTGGACAATTCTGTCACAATGCCCTTTCCATCCAAGTTGCCGACTCGTGCATTACTCCGTCCCGACGAGGCAATACGACAAACAACCATTCAATCGTCATGAATTCGGAGGCACTGCCAAGAAGAGCAACTAAGAAGTAATCAATGTGTACGTTTTGTTAATTTTTAACATGTTATTTTGTCACAAATTATTGTGTATTTTAGCTTTGTCTTATTGTCATTCATCATAATTTGTCATGAAATTAGTCCATGATCATTGACCAGATTTGTGTGTGCGCATAATACAACTTAAATGTTTAATGCTTTATTATTTTATTGGAATGTGAGTACGCAAATGTAATTATAATATGCTGAAGTATATTGTGGTGAAATATTAAATACACATTGAAAAAATATATACGGTACCGGTACTCAATATTATTCACATACTGTACTTTACACATTTATTGATTCCGAACACACCAAAATCTTATGACCACAGTCCAGACACTTTTGGTATCGGTTTCATTTGACTGCGGTACTTATTCTGCTAGTTTTTTCCTAAGTGGTTTCTCACTTTTCCGCCCTACGGTGCTATCGTTCTTCTTTTTATTCATGATATAAACATCTACATAGCACCTACAACGTATATCTACAAAAATTCCTTTTAACTTTCTTCAACAGATTTTCGATAATGGCTTCGCTAACAGAATTGCCAATTAATCTCTGAAATGCAAATTCAATCGCAGGAACGTTTAATTCGTTTAGTAGGAGCTCTTTTAGGTTAACATTTTTAAATTTCTTCATATTTGAAAATATGAAAATACCAAGATAGGCTTAATCTTCTGTTCAAGTCTCCTAAAAAATGCGTATACCTCATCGTTTACTTTAAATAAACCTCCCCTGTCAATCAAATCAATCTATTTTCGGCTATAGGCTAAAAAATCCATTTTTGATTTAGTACTGTCATCACTCCACTGCTGTAATATTTCGATGCATATTAATGCCATTTCATTATTTGGCAATCTTTTATAAAAGCGAATGAGTTTGAAAGGAATGAAACCTGCAACATATCTTAACGTTTCTTCTTCTTCATTTGACAGGTTTACTTGATCGCCTTTGCTGACCAAGCTAGCTGTATCTCCGACTCTCCTGTTAATTAATTCTACAAGAACATTATCTGCGAGCATGTTGAACAAAAAAGTTGCCGTTTTCTTGCTGCATCTTTGAAAGAAGTCGATAAACTCTGGTTCCTTTGTTAATCGGAAATCGTGGAACAGGCGACACACACTATCAAGATTTTCCGATGCTGTTTTCTTTCCCTCACTCTCACTAATTGTTTTCCATATCATTGTTATGATTTTTTCATCAAAATATTTTTTTTGTTCGTGTTTTAAGAGATTATCAATTGCATTACATATTTCAGTTTTCTTTTCATCATCTATATTTAACATTGGATTTTTCACCAATTTTTCGCATGCTTCTTTTACGATTTCTCCCGCATTTTCAAGCGCATTTTGTAATTTGTAATTACTTTCCCATTTCTTTATTTTGTTGTTCTTCCGCTTGGTCTTTGTGGTCTTCGTTTCACCTGTTTTAAAAGAAATAATAATACAGTACAGTAATAAATACATATAAAAAACAGCAGTGTAAATACTTACACAAGAATCTGCACCACGAGGATACGTTCGTTTTGTTTCAGTTGTTTATTCTTGCGTCTGTTGTTTTTTGCATACGCTTTGTCAATGTTGTTTATTCGTTTGCCTGCTGGCTGTATTATCAATTCCTTATCAACGAGAGCATTGCGGACACCCACTGTAAGCTCATTTCTTAATTTAAGTTGGTAATTATATCTTACAATATTTTAGTCAATTCCATTCCTTAATATTTCAATATGCCCATTATCATGGGGAATTAACAATGCGGTACTATATAAAAGTATGTCGATGCATAGCCTGATTGGCTTACATTATTATTGATTTTTTTTTATTTTTAGAAAGAAATATACTAGGCCTATCTATTGCTTCCTGAGATAAAATAAAAGTGCATAGGTTTTATAACTTACTTGTTGCGGTCGATTCATTATTTGAGTGTTGTTTGCAAGTGTCACAAATCCAGTCTGTATCAGTGGCCATACTGCCAATACACTTCATGTGAAATAATTTCACTTTACAATCGGTAGACTGACATTCAACCAGGTCATCAACAGACGGATTCCCGCATATGCATATATCACCAGCATTAACATCATTCTCCTCTGATTCATACAGTAAATCGGCTTCTTGGCATTGAAGTTCGAAATCAAAATCATCATACTCACTTAAGTCGTCCATTTTACAATATAAACCTAAATACACATGCAGTCTTAGTTTACACACTATGCAACAAACAAACAATGATATGACGCTCTCTAATCTACCAGTCAGTGATAAGAAAGTTCAACCATGGTTCAACGATCCGAAATTCAGCGGTGGGAAAATCCAACGATGCGAAATCCCGTGATGTGAAACCAGTGAAGCGAGACCAGTGCGTTCGCTACCTAAGCGCGAACATGGCATGACCTAACGATAGTAACTACTAATGTTTGACCTCGGGTAATTGGTAATGGTGTGCGATACCGAGGTTAATGGGTTTTTTATTAGGTCGGCAACTCAGTTAGGTACAAAGGGTTGTTTCTCCTTCTATTTTTATACCTCCACGGTCGAGTCAATTCGAAATGGCCCGAGTGAAGTTTCATGCAAATGTTTCGTACGGAAAAAAATCGCAGGCGGACAATTGTTATACCCATACCAAAATCAACTCCTGCATCAATTGAAAATGTGCGCCCAATCTCACTTACCGTTCAGTTCGCAAAACTAGCCGAAGGTTTTATTGTTAAGTGGACTATGGCAGATTTATTGCATCACCTTGATCGCAAACATTTGGTAACAGGAAAGGTCCCTCTACAGTTCGAATTGCCTAGTAGGTATTCATCAACTCTATTCAAACTCGGATAATTTGAAATCTTCGTCTACCATAGTACTAACAGACTTTAGAAAAGCATTTGATAGGGTAGACCACAATATTGCAATTGAAAAGTTACTATCCCTTGGTGTGAAACCATCATGTATTGTGAATTTCGAACTTTCTCAAAGATCGACGGTAATGTGTCCGATTCTACCACATCTGATTGGTGCGGTGGAATTACATTCTTGTGTCCCGCAAGGGACGAAATTAGGCCCCATAATTGTTTCTTACCTTAATTAATGATGCTTGTTTAGATACTGGGAATCTTATTATCCACTTAAATATGTGGATGATATTACCCTAGTTGAGTGCAGAAGGAGAAGTGATATATCAGCCCTTCGGTATGTCCTTAATTCACTTAGTGATTGGTCAACAAACAATCAAATGAAACTTAACCCAAATAAGTGCTCTACCGTGAAAATTTGTTTCATGCGATCTCCCCCACCCCCTATAACTCTTCATTTAAATGACACAGATATAGTTAGTCAACAATGTGTAAAACTACTTGGTATTTATTACAAAATGATCTCAAATAGGACACACAGGTGAAACAGATGCTAAATAGCGTATTTTAAAACACCACAAAGATTCCCTCTAAAGACTAACTGTAGAATATGCGGCCCCAGCATGGAATGCAGGACTCACCAAAGAACATATCCGAAAATTAGAAAGTATACAAACACGAGCACTTAAGATGATCTTGGGTGCTTTATATACAAATTATGCTAACGCACTTACCTTCTTTAATACAGTGACTTTAGCAGAAAGAGGCCGGAAATTATGTTACGACATTGCAAATAAATTTTAAAAAAATCCAACCGCCCCATGCCATTACCTCTTGCCAGACCCGCCTGATAGATCGTGCAGCATGGATCTGAGACAGAGGGAGGAAATCACACAAGTAAAGTGCAGAACCAACAGATTAAAAAATAGCCCTATTCACTGTAAAAAATGTCACTACCGTGTGATTGTATTTTTACGGTATTTTTTATATAATAATACGATGTATTGGTGTTTTGTTGTAAA